TGACTTCCGCCTCATTTCCTGTTCCTTGTTTGGTTGTGGGCTTAGGGCAGATTCACACAATCGATTGTATGTTTACTCTAAATTGTATATAACTTGTATCCATTTAGTACTCATAGTAGGAATTGTAAAGCCATTTTTACTCATCATTCATCACATCAGAAAATATAGGATTTTCTGGAAGAACTGACGAACTTTTCTAAAAGAACTTATAATATACTTTTTATAACTAAAATACTTATGAACTCACCAGCTTGAATGTTGATCTACTCTTTCAAAATAACTTGTATTCTCAGGAAACTAGTAGACAGGTACGCACACCAGGATTTAGAAGATGGAGCATAGTAGCTTCACGTCTTTGTTTTGTTATTTATTTTTCGAGTCAATCTTTTGTGAATCTAATACTTTGTAAACACTTTAATATTAATGCAATGGTTGTTTGTTACTTTGATTACTATGATGCATGTGTTGTGATACTAAGCATGACGTCCTCCTCCCCCGAACGTTTCCGCCGTTCCGGTTTGGGGGTGTGACAGGGTTTTCCCTAACTATATAACCTGATACTACATCACTATTAAGGGACTCCTTGTTTCACATATCAAGTCAAAAAATCTTTTGTGTCATTGGTTTGCCACCAGGTGTACCAGGTAAAAATGTTGAACTTGGTGTTATGGGCGGCTGTCCACCGGGCGTGGATGGCAAGTAAGGGCTTGAAGCATTACCTTAAACAAAAAAACATTTATTAATCACACAATCACATAATGAGCTTTAATATGGGAATCTTTATGTTACCAAAGGTGAAAACCATATACAATGGAGGGTGGTTCTCTTTAATCACTAATCTTGAAGGGATCATTCATATTTGTTACACGGACTATTTTCAATTATGAGGATAAGAAGGGCATTTACGCCTTTTGCATAGACGATAGATCAGAACTAGTCCCTGTTCACCTTGTGTTCACTGACATTACTCTCCTTATCCCTCGGTAACCTTCTCATCGTGTTTAAAAAAAATTGATGATTCTGATTTGAGTTCATAGAAGAATCTCCTATTCTGTTAATATTAAACATTATTATTATAAACATCAAGGTGTTATTCTGTCCGAGTCTGTTTCTAATCTAGATTAAATAAACCATCTTAATGAAATGAAATGACCATTATACCCTTTCCAAAGAAGAGTTGAAAGGAAAGAAAAAAAGAAGAGAAAACAGGCATAAAATTAGTGTTTTAATACATTAAGCCTGAATTTTTGGCTTAACCCATCGAGTCATTCTATGTAGAATAAATCAAGATTAAGTTCTTAACCCATTAAGTCCATTAAGTAAAAAAGAAACACCCCATTAATCTAATAATATATATAGTATGTAAATGGATGTTTCTTTTTCACTTCATGCAGAAAGAACAACTTAATATAAAATTTTAAAAACAACTTAATATAAAATTTTAAAAACGAGGCCTTCTCAATTAATCGAAGTAGAGTACTCTATTCCCAAATACTTTATAAACAAACATCCTTAATATGAGGAAATTATGAAACAAAGAAAAATGCATCACCTGGTTTTGCTCAAAGTAGTTTGGAAGTACGTTGTGTTCACCAAGAACTACTTCACCACTGTTGGGCTTTTGTAAGCCCATAATTAACTTAAGTAGAGTGCTCTTTCCACAACCATTTGGCCCAATTATGGCAACTTTACCACCCCTTTCGAATGATATGTTAGCTTTTTTTAAAAGAACCTACAAAAAGACAAACCAGAGCATATCCTTACATATTTAATTATCACAAAGAAAATAAAAAAAATTCAACCTTATTATTAATGAATTACCTTGTCTTCATAGCTAAATTCTAGATGCTTTATTGTCACAGCATACTTCCACTTTTTCCACTTTCTGGAAATCTGATCTTCATTTATTTTCGGATGAATGGCTTATCAACTTGTTCTTTCTCCTAAAGCTTCTCTAATTTCTGAAAAAAAAAATCAAATAATATAACATTTAGTACTTGGTAATTCAAATAATATGTTGTATATAACTGGTTTCTTATATCTTTTATGTAAAGGTGTGGTCAACGTCTTCCCAGAGTCTTGGTCCTTGCACCTACCAAGGAGTTAGCAAGGAAAGTAGAATCAGAGATCAAAGAGTCTGCTCCATATTAGAGCACTGTTTGTGTCTATGGTGGCGTCTCATATAATTCACAGCAAAATGCATTGTCTCGTGGTGGTTGGAACACTAGGAAGACTTATTGACCTTATTGACAGTAACACCCTAAATTTGGTGGAGGTTCAGTTCTTGGTTCATGATGAATCTGATCAAATGTTTGCTGGTGGTTTTGAGGAAGATGTAGAGCATATTTTGGAAAAGCTTCCATCACAGAGGCAAAGCATGCTTTTTTCAGCAACAATATAAGAAACTCTCAAGGAAATATCTCAACAATGTAATGTCTGTTAAGTAGAAAAAAAACAAAAAAAAATCATACATTTTTCTTTAATCAAAGCTATCTAACCTCTCACGAAGTGAATTCCACTTTTGCCCCTGTAATAAAATTTAAAACATCAAACAGTAACCATTTTTAAACTACTCAAGGGTAATGATGTCAAATTGTTGATTACCTAAAAGGACGCCACAATGTCGTTGTTGCCTATATCCGCCTAAAATAAATGAGGGATATTAACCAATGTAGAGTTGAAATATATGTTGTGAGATAGTAATCATGTCAAGTGTTTATGCAACAGGGGTTGTAATGCCAAAAATAACCCAGGTTATGGCTAACACTTTAATGAAAAAAATAAAAAGAAAACGCATGGAGCCTAATATTGTAGACCAAATTTGAATTGAATTTAAAGAAAGAGTGCCAAGGACTCCTGCAAGCTTAGTGTTCAACTTAAAACCAGCAGGGTTTCCCATTAATCGTGCACAACTTATTAGTGGTTTGTAACATCACTAGTGAAGGTCAAAATAGTCAAACAGGCGAATTTGCATGAGTCAGCAATGTAAGGCCAAAAAGGTTCCCTAAAATTAAGCACATCGATAACTATACTCAACCACGTGGAATGTTTTCGTAGTGAAGCTTTCTTTGCATACCTTGTTCATTCAAGTTGTTCCGACTTATTGGATGCCATAGGTTCATTGATCAAATATGAAGATTTCCAGTCACATAGCCTCTGCTCTGTACCTAATTATTGGAGGCATAATAATAAAAAGTTACCTGTTTCCAAGAATTTTGGTGGACATGGACTTGCCAAAGGTATTCTAGAAGTTCAACGATGTTATGGCGGATGTTAAACTTGTCATAAAACTGCATAACAGTGAAAAAAATATGGTTAAATTGTGAGGAATAATAGCAACCTACAGATCCAATTTTTTGAGCGATGAAAGTAGGAGAGTATCGAATTGTGCCTAATTGTTGGATATAAGCAGGGTTTGCCGGTGAATGTCTAGAGCCCTTAATGAACTGAGGTATGCGTTACTTTGATTTCTTGTGTCCAAGAACTTAATGTCTCCTGCTTGAGATGCACTCACCATATGAAATGAATTTCACAATACCAAAAAGGTAACAATATTTGATAAGAAATAAAAATTTATTTCCTAAATTGAAGTATTTTGTTCTTTTACCATTGCTAGATCGAGTCCGGGTTAGAAGCCGATTCCCACAACTCTTTCTATAGTCTATACCTCCAACTCTTTCTAGTCTCCAAGTGTGTGGTCGTGTAACACAAAAAAGATTGGAAATCACCATTAAATTAAGTAATCATGAATTCATATATGGGTAATTTAGTAACAGTGGAAGAATTAAGATGAAATGGAAAACATACCTATCAGGTGTTCGAATGTCTAATAATCATACAGAACCATCAACAAAGCTAGTTGAATATTGACCTCCACGAACTTGAGATGCAGCCTAAAAGAGACAATACATACCTATTCATACAAAAAAATATTAGAAACAATATCAAATAATTAAATAATAATAATAATATAAAACAATGGGGCCAAACACAGAGGTGTGTTTCATACATAAGCCAAGGTGAGGCATTCCGGATTCATATGACAAATTCTGCAATGACTTTGATGCCCCTTGCTAAGATGCAGCTCTAGAAACACAATAACCATATCAGCTTTTAAAGCACATTGTTTTTTATCATTAAGTGATGTATGGATAAAGTGCTAAATGGATGCATGATGTCTGTCTGGAATAAGTGCATTAAGTCAAAAAGAAAACACCACTACGTATTTGTCTTTTTGTTGACTGGATGAACTATCTGAATGTGAGTAAATAACCCTATTACCCTTCTGTACATATGAATTCAAAAAGAAACACCCCTATGTATTGTCCTTTTTTTGGACTGAATGAACTGTCTGAATGCGAGTAAATGACTGTTTTACCCTCCTGTATGTATTAAGTTAAAAAAAGAAACAGACCTGTATATCTGTCCCTTTCTTAAGCTAAATGAACTGTCTGAATGTGAGTAAATCAAATGACTATCCTTACCCTTTTGTATGTACTATGTCAAAAAGCATCACCCCCTAATGAACTGTCTGAATGTGAGTAAATGACCATTCTACCCTTTTGTATGTGTTAGGTTGAAAAGAAACACACCTATATATCTGTCCCTTTTTTTACTAAATGAATGAACTGTTTGAATGTGAGTAAATGACCATTTTACCCTTCTGTATTTGTACTCATCAAACTAAAAGATGCTTAATGATAAATGATACATTAATAGATGATATGTCACATAAAACATACCTAAAAAAGTAAGAAATAGCTTCATTAACTTTCTTTTCAGTAGAACCTCGTGGTGCTTGATGACGTGCTTGTGAAAGAAGACAACAACCAAGAAGGTGAAGAAGTGTGCACCATTCATTGTTTACACCCTGAATACCACTAGATGTTTTCTCCTTGAGTATATTTTGGTTCACCATAGTAAGAAGATGCTTCAAAAACAAAAAAACAAATATATAAACCTTTAATATGTTTCTTGATATTATAAAAAACTGTCTGTAATGATGCAAAGAAACAAACCTCAACAGCATCAAACCGCCCATGTTTAAGCAAGATCAAAGCAAGCATAGTTGAATGAGTAGAAAAAGAAGATGACACGTCATCACTCCTTCCCCAAACTATCCGGCTTATGAAGTTTCTTACTGGAGCAATGAAAGAGGTGGGATTTGGAAGGTGTTTTGAATCAACACGGTTTTGATCTTTGAAAAAACTTTGATGATCAAGAAACAGAATAAAAGCCAATGTAAAGTCACATTTTCCAAGCTTGTCATTCCATGATCTTCTATCAATGTTGTTATCTGATGGAGCACATGAAATGTGAAAACTAAAAACACAGACTAAAAATATGATTTGGTGAAGACTGAAGAGTTTATAAAATATGGTTACCAATTTGTAATAAGGAGAGTTGAGAACTGAAATCTTCTATGGCAGTTAATTCAGAAGGTGTGGTTGAGCATGTAGCTCAGCATCAATAGTATTCCCACTGCAGATTCAAACATCACTTGAGCAACTTGTGTAGTTGGTTGAACTGTTATGCAAGTACTAATATCAAAAACAGCTTCAGAACCCAATTTCTGTTAATTCTTTTGAGGCACTAAATAGTTCAAGTATTTCAATACAACATCTACAACTTTGTCCCATGTTGAAGCTTTTTTGTAGACCATGAAGAGATAAGAACATATGCACAGAGAACTTCCTTAATGCTTTGTGGTCATCAATTTCCTTTTTCCAAGCAGTATCAACACCTAACTCTGTGACATGAACAACTGTTATTGAAGAAGTGTATCCGGTTTCTAGAACCTTCAAGAAACGTGTAACAATGTCTTCAGGGGACATAGATTGTTCACTAAAGAAAGATTCATAAAATAAAGCAGGGGTGCCTTTTCCTAGCTATTGGCTAAGGTTATTTATGCATGCCAAAACTTCACAAAGTAATTCTTGTTCAAGATCATTTGATAAGTTAATCCTAGAGCTTGCAGATTCTCCAAGTTCATCAAAAGATCTTGTATAGCAAAGGAAATGTTGAGAGTGTTATATAGAATTAAACATTGTGTTCAATTTATGTTACTAATCATGTTTGTCATTAAAAATAATTTGATTCGTATTGTTATTTAGATAAAATAAACAGTGATATATAGCAGTTCTTAAAGAAACAGTTTTTTTTGATATTTAGAATTAATCCCCTGCTGCTGTTGTTCTCTGTTCTGATAAGTTGGCACGGGGATGGGGGGAGGTCCATCTATGGAACCACCAGAAACAAAGCTAGACAATACCATTTTCTTGCTCCCCTGATTTCCAGAATTATTGGATGAAGCTGAAGCAGCAACAAAGCTGCTTTTGAACCGAGCCATCACTCCCGTCCTAAGCAACTTAATAGTTGAGCCAGTATGAGGAGCTGCTTTAGGTTCTGAGTTGTATCCTATCCCCAAACCAAAATCCACACCATGCACACATCGATTCCCACCGACCTCTGATGAAGCAACATAGATATACTGATGAAGCAACACGTTTCTTAACGGCGCCTGAAACCAAATAACAGGTGTCCAGTCACACAGTGACGAAGTAGGGCAGAAGAGGTATAAGAACGACTGTAAAACCAAAAGGATCAAGTATAAAGACCTAAAAAATCTAAAATTAAGTTCCAAAATAGATATAATTTCAAAAGGCAGAAAAGAAGGGATGGGCTGAGGGTCGTAGGCGTCGAGAAGCACTTCGAAACAAAAAAACAAAAATACCCTAAATCTATAATTGTCTTACCCAGGTGTAAGAAGTCGGAGGGGTGACTCAGCGGACCGGTGTCAGTAAAAGGGGATGGAAGAGTGGCAAGTAGCTTTGGGGGAAACGCCGAAGGAAAACCCACCGTGAATCTTGTAGTTTTTTTGGGTGAACCTGAGAACTGTAAACTGAAAAGTAGTAGAAAAGTTATATATGGGCGAAGAGGAAGGATATGAGAAACGTGAGGCCACAGAAATAGAAAGGGAGATATGAGAGCACAAAACAGATAGAAAAAGGGGAGAGAATAGAATCGATGATGAAAGAGCCTTAGAAGGATTATAAGCGAATCTAAGGGGTTGAACCCGACCATCGTTGCATCTTCATTCCCCACAACCACCATTCTGGCGTCTTCCTTCTTTGGAGCCACCGTTGCCGCCTCTTCCTTACCTTAATACAACTTCTCAAACCTTTCTCTAGTTGTTTGATTCTTGAGAGAGAGCAATCTGTAAATGGAGATAGTCCTCAAACCAGGGTTGTGTGAAAACAGCCCTAGAGTTGAGATTTTGTGCTGAGGAATTCATGGGCTCACGTTTTGTAAAAGGAAATATAAAGCGACATGTTGTACACGACACACGTTTTAAAACGGGTGCCCTCCGTGTTTTTTTTGTCATGACACTAATTTTAGGTCACGAAAAAACGCGTGTCCTAAATCCTTCAGATTTTGATAGAGATGACAATATTTTTAGGGCACGCACTTTTGCGTATCATAAAACATTGCGTGTCATGATTTGCCTGTCATTAAAGGCCTATATTCTAGTAGTGAAGCAAGAATGTAAGTGGTCCAACATAGTAGACGCCTTTGTTTCTTGGTTTCCATGAAGTCCTACTATGTGGCAAAGCATCACTAAGATATTTACACCAGTTTATATTTTTCCAGTCTTCAATTGATGCCATCTTCATTGTAATGCTTGTTTGTAAACCTCCACAAGATTTTTTCTCTATCATTGTATTCACAAACAATGTAATCAAATTTAACACAAACATTTCATCTGCAACTTCCGAGGCTTCTATAAGTTCACAAAGAGTTTGTTGTGATTTTGTTACATCAGGATGTTGTTGTTTCCATTGGACAATAAGGTCGTTGTCTTCCTCACACTACTTCACAGTAGATAAATACATTCCTGTTTTTGGTATTCCAAGGATCTGATGAATTTTTTCTTCATTGATTCTCAGTTGTATGTCCCCTAAATCAATATAGTTTGAAGTAGGGTTATATCTTTCAACAACAAAATATCCTAGAACTGATGGAATGGTATCAAGTGACGTTTATGAGATTACCTTGAAACCTAAGCTTTCTAAACATTATTTATGTTCCCTGCTTAGAGATATAACAGTAGTGTACACTGCTT